AGCACATGACAATCTATACTTGATTCCAAAATAATCCAGGGTACCTATTATATTTATTTCGATATTTCAATGCAATGTAGTCTTTAGTCTTTTCAGACAAGAAAAATTACAAATTATTATGAACTTGTATAATTATAAATCACTTTTAGGATTATATTGGTATTATTCGTTCTTATTCCGATCCCATTTGTTTTTCTGGTCAACTTGAAGTGTTTTTGAAGTATGTTCTTGGCAGCGCGGGCAAGCTTGTTAATTGCGGTCCGCCAGCTACTTGCCTTGCTGCGATTTGCAGCTGGGGGCTTAGGCTCACAAATCTTGTCACCGTCGAGATTCAGCGATGCAAATATCTACGCAGCATGCAACCAGCCCGTCATCTGGATTCTGCGTCGGCGACATCCATTTCTCATTTGATCTTTATCGCCGGGCAACATGCAAACAGCCAACGCCTCCCCTCTAAAAGCCACTCCCACCGCCCCAGAGTCCTTGGTCAGACCTGATATCCGTATTGATTGTAATCAAGATTGGCTTTTTGCATGCGCCCGACTGCCAAAGCGATTTGTGGTCTGGTCTGGAAAACTGTTTCGCCCAGCGACATTTCAAGGCTTTCTGTCGCAGCAGCTGCTGCGCCGTTTTCCCCTTTTGCCCCGATTTGCAATTTGCCAGTTTTTAATTTCCTCTGGATCTCTCATTAGCGGGTAGCGTTTCGGGTGGCCAAAAAGGCCCCAGATGCCGAAAGTGGGTCGAATCGGGTCGCTTCTCCAAATTGCGGTACACGCAACGCTCGGACACCTTGGCGGCTCTTTGGGTTTTTGCTATTTTCAGTTGACTTTCTGCCCCGACAATTTTGGAACACAGACAATGGTTGGGTGTAAATCATGTTTGCACTGTCTGTCTGTTAGACCCAGACTTGACTTGACTTTACTTGACTTGTGGTCAATGGCTTGTACATAATGGCTGCCCCAAACAACAACCAAGTACAATCGCCTCTTTGGGGCATTTGCAAACAATGACATTATGCTGACGTTTATTAATCGCATTTGCGAAATTAATGTCGTGACATTTTCGGTTTAATGTAGTTGTAATAAATAAATGCGCCGTTTATCCATAGACTAACAGAGAAACACAATAAATATGTATGGTATAAAAAATCAATACAATAGTCCAAAAGACAGACGGCAGACACCGCAGACAATTGCTGCTGTCAGTGCTCCAGATTATGTAATTCCAATTTGCATATAACAAATGAGCGACGGCTTCTATATTCATTTTTTCAACATGTTGGAGATGCTTGTAGAACCTCAAAAACCTTTGGTTTTATTGTTTTCATAAAAACCCGTAACTTGTCTAAATATTTATATTTGCAAAACTATGAAAGTTTCAAAAATATTTTAAATTTCCACTAAAGTCAAAATAAATAAAAATTTTATAAATCTGAATAAGTATTTTGCTTAAAAAAAAAAGTTTTTCACTTTACCCCAGATGGGACTCGAACCCACAATCCCCGGCTTAGGAGGCCGATGCCTTATCCATTAGGCCACTGGGGCATGTGCAACTCGCTGGCAAAATGCTATTTTGAGCTCACGGCTGAAAATCATGAGTCACCTCAGCGTCACAGCAGGCAAAATGAATATTCAAGAGGGTGAGGCAGAACGAGTTTCTTTATTGATCTTATTTTGGGGTGGAAATATACCGTGTTGCTGACTGTGTTGATATTAGTGAATTCATATTACAAGTTTAATTCAAAAATATTATCCACTTATGTACATTGTTAACATAACCGAACCTTTGTTATCAAAGAGAAACACTTGAGCTACAGAACCAACATAACCCAAATATTTAGTTCGATATGTACATATGTTTGTTCGCTTTGTTTCCGCGAAAAACAAACACTTTATTTTAACAGTTGCTTCACAACAAAATTAAATTCAAGATATTGAAATCTATTTTTACTTGGTTTTTGTTCTTGTTTTTCATGTTCTCGACCGGCCTTAGTTTCATATAGGCGTTTTGACAACGTGAAGCACATGCCCCAGTGGCCTAATGGATAAGGCATCGGCCTCCTAAGCCGGGGATTGTGGGTTCGAGTCCCATCTGGGGTAAAGTGAAGTACTTTTTTTTTTTTTCTTGTTTTAGTAGAGCCCTAGGCATTACACAATCTTATCGCTCTTATATCCCACTAAAAGATAAATAAATAAAACAATTCTTAATCTCACAACTGCCGTCGACTGGCTATTTTCAGGCCTAAACTTTTTCAATTTGAAACATTTTAAATATTCTTTCATGTTTCTGAAATAAATTGTTAAACTGCTTAGAATTAATTTCGTTGCAGTAAGCTACAGAATTTAGAATTTAAAAACTAGAAATCATGTTTAAAACTTCCCTTCGTGGCGGTAATAGTGGATAACTTTTTCGCAAGCTATTGGCAGCGTTCCATCAAAACAGATTATCGGTGGGCCGCTCCCAAATGCCAGGCCGCAAGCCGAACATAAACCATGGAAACTCGTCACAGCAGTTGACATTTCGCTGTGCCACTTCCACTTAATTTAACAACTTTACGAGTGCCAGCCATCGTCTTCTAATATCGTTTTCAGACATTTTCACCCCGGCTCTTAAATGGCAATCAACTTTCTGACGAGTTGTCAAAAACGCCGTCGCCTGGCGTTTAGTTGAATGCATCTCCAGTGGGCGTGGGTGGGTGTGGCCTTGCCTGGCCTGAGATGAAATCCATCCACTTTAAAAGTTTGCCAAAAATTGCGGCTCATAATTTCACTTTCGCTATCTGAAATATGCATGGTCGTAAAATTTGCCAACGCCGTCCAAATGGCCACCCAGGGAGCCAAGGATGCACAAGCTTCCCCGGTATGAAACTGGGTTGGGTGGGAATGGGAGGTGGTTAGATGGAAGCCTCGGCCATAAGCATTAAAATTGCATACAGGCTGGGAGGCCAAAAAAATACTAAAAAATAAAACTGTGCCTCGCATAGTTTCATTTGCTTTACGATTCAGCAAAACTTTGGCTGAGGATGCACCAGGACCAGGACCAGGGGATCGGGGAGGGATAACAGCGGGCTGTAAGGCAGTCTCATCATTAATGTAAATTCATTGTTGCATGTTGCAGGAGGGGTGTGACGGGGACTGCCACACTGCCTGCATTATAACAATTCATACTGAATTTTTGATACGAATTCAACTTTCCCACGTACGCATAATCCATTAAGTCAAAAACTGGGCTCTTTCGACTTTGAGTTATCCCGTTATAATATTTTGTTACGATGATATGAAGAACTTTTTTTTATTTTGTTAAAAAAAAATAATCAAAACTTCGATATTTTTATACCCGTTACTCGTAGAGTGTTTGCAAAAGGTTTGAAAAAGTCAAGTTGCCAAACAATATTTAGAGGATAAAATCTTTTCGATTAGAATTAAAACTGGTGTGTAAAATTAATTTAGTCTGATATATTTTGAACTATGGCCGTCAAAACATACCCATTAGGTGCAAGTATTCCCGAAGCTAGGGAGAAATTCCTCTCGCCCTATAAGCCCCATCTCAGTGTTAAAACTTTTTCGCAGAATTAATGGCAAGGGTACTTTAGCACCCCGCGGAAAGTAGGCCAAAGTCCGGGCGCTATGGTATATAGAACGGGGAAACGGAATGGTGGGGAAGGGGGGCAAAAAGCATTCTGTGAGGTTTATGGAATGCTCCGCTGATTGCATTTGTTGCATTTTACTTAATTGAAAAAGGCCAGCAATGTGGGGGAAGGCCGTAAAAGGACAATATCGCTGTCCCTAGCCCTCTATGGGCTGCCTGCGCACTTCATAAAGCTGACAGGGCTCGGATCGCACCGCACTGGAGCGGCTATAAAAGAACATGACCAAAGAAGAGGCTGCCGAGGACACAAACACACACCAAAATAGACCGCCAACGGGCCGCCACAAACGGGCAGCAGACAAACAAACAAACAAAAACATGCCGGGCCAAAAGCAATGGCACAAGCAAAAGCACAAGCACAAGCATCTGCAACAAGCAACGGCAAACAAACAACGAGCGGCAAAAATTATCTACTCAGATTATGTCGAGATTAATTACATACGCTGAGCGCCATTGTCTTGTCAATAAATTGTCGTTGTCGTCGACGTCGCCTGGCATCGTGTGGCTTTAAGATAAGAGGGCCTCCGACGCCGACTACCGAAATGTTAACTGGCTTTTCTTTTCTTCTCTGTATATTTTTTGCAATTTTTGCTCGCTCTTTTTGTTTTGGCTGAGCCTGTCAAAATTGGTTGCTCAACCCGGGAGCTGCAGCCAAGCCCCTCGTCCTCGGCTAATTAATTTAGAAATGTTGCCAGCATCAGCGCGACGAGCCCACCAAAGGGAGCGCCACATGGCCGACCGTTAGCGGGCAAATAATAATGAAATGATATAGGTTTAATCCGCCGATAAGCATCGTGCCGCATCTCTCTAAGCCAAAGTGCTCGCCAAGTGCGCGTAAATTAATTGGCCAGAAAGCCAACAGCCAAAGAGAGGTATATGCAGTTCCTAGCTCAGAAGACTGCCGGCCAAGTTTATGTGGCTCCGACTTTGGCCAAGGGGCACTGCTGAATTTAGTGCATGTTAAGCGCCGAATGGCCAATGTAAATTTCAAGGCGCTCTGCCTTCTTGGCCCGGCTCGAATGGGCCACACCATCGAGGGTTAAGAGCGGGCGAATGATGGCCCACGAGCATGGGCAGGGCTAATTAGAATGGATAACACGATATTGGCATCGCTGCACCTGGAAAATACTGCCCACCATAACTCCAGATGAGTGTTTGGCCATGTAGAAGATGCGATTCGAGATTGCGGAGCCCGGAAAAAAATACTGAGAAAGAAAAGCATAAGCAATTTCTTAGGAAACAGGCTAACTGTGTAATATAGAGATGTTTAAATTTGCTGATCTTAAGTTATCTATAAAAATAAATTACCTATGAAGGAGTAATAGAATATCAAATATTTAAAATGTATTATCTTTCTTAGCTAATATATTTTATTAAAGAAGATATCTTCTTATATTGATCTTATTTAACATTATTTCCCTGATTTGTTTTAAAATTTCGTATCTTACTGAAGATCCAGGACACCCTTGCCATTAAGAATGGCCAACAATCTCCTTGTACTTCTGATCACAATTTCGCTGTCGTAAATAGATTTCTGGAATCGAAGTCCCTCCTCGGTTTCTTTATACACACTTGAGAAGTCCGAGGTCACTTCACTGCCATTGTAAATAATAACGGGCTTGAAGAGATGTGACAACAGGCCTGTGAAATGATAATGGGTAAGTCAATTTGGGTTTCAAGACGATTTCAATTTACTTACACATGAATCGCCGACACTCAAACTGCAGCCGGAACTCTTCAATGCTGGGAAATATCCCCTTATACGAAAGCTTTTCCAAATTCTCTCTAAGATCGTGATAATAACTATCGACGAGAATTGATTCCATTTCCTGAACTTCTTCCCTCAGCGAAACGGTGAAGAAGTAGTGCAAATCAATGGCAGGGGAGGTGATGTTGCTAAACTGAAAATCTATAGCAACTGCTGTTTGGGGACTACCCGCATCATCGTACTGAAACATAATGTTGGTGGTCCAGCAATCGCCATGGTTCAACATCTGCAGGTCTCGTTCGCTCACATCGAAGACCCTAGCCCCATACTCCATAACGAAGTTAAGCAGTTTCTCCAACTTGTCGCCGTAGTTTTCCTTTAGATCTGGTTGACCATTTACGAACCTTAACAAGGCCCTAAACACACCCGTATATACCTCTGTATAACCCTTTTTGTCACGCGAAAAGAAGTGAGTAAAGAGGCTTTTGGAGATGAGTTCCGGATGGCGCTGTCGTAGGATTACAGATGCGGCATGGAACTTGGCCAACATTTTCAAAGTCAGCTTGGTGTGTTCCAGATCCAACTGCTTCACTCGATCCGCATTGACATAGTTATACTGCGCCAGATCTTCCAGTATCATGGTGCTATGTTCTCGGTCCACGACGATGGTATCTGCAGTGAGTTTACCTTTCAGGCCAGCTTCCTCGAGAAGTTCCTTCATCTTCGGCAGGACGAACTCGTACATGTCCATCTCACGGTTGTACACATCGTACTCTATGAATATCGCTGCTTGGGGAATATTCTCAGCTAAGGCTTCCTTGACAATGTAGGTTTTTTTCTGAACTAGTCCATCACTTTTCTGAAAGTCCACGTGGATACGGATCATGGTGCTCATGTAGTTTTGACCCTTTTCCGTAGCCGGTTTCGACCAGACTTTAAGGACCTTGAGTTGATCATCCTTATAGTAAGTCCTCAGCCTGGGCTGCAAGTACTCTTCGGTGAGCCAATTGGGTAGCATTGTTTACGGGTTGCGGTTCCTCAAACTTCTAAAGTTTTACCTCTAGATCCCACTTTTATATTTTGAAGAAATTTCGTCTTATCGGGGACAATTAAAACAGCGATTAGATTTGTAATGGAAAACTCTGTGTTATCTATATTCTGTAGTGAAATCTTTATTGTTACTGAAGTACTTAAAAGTTTTGTTTGTGGTTTATTTTTGCGATATCAAACACTCAAACATTGCTATTTCTTATGAAATACTATAATAAATAGTCTAGAAAGATTTCCTAAATAAATTATCAGGCAAATAGTCTAACAGCACTAATAGAAACAAATTTTAAAACTTGACATGTGAAAATATTTTTTTTTTTTAGAAATATTATTAGTTGCATTTTAAGACCTACTTGCAATTTAAATCCAAAAGCAGAGGACAAAGAATATGTTCATTGATAGTAAGTAGACTGTGTCCAAACACTCTTACTGCACTTGAAAACATGGCAAACAAACAAATTGAAGGAATTTATTAATAAGCGCATATCAGGTGACAAGTAAGAGGTTTATAGTGTGGAAGACGTTAAGTGCATTTCACACATCCAATCTGGTGACCAGGCAACACTAATTTCACTAAACAATATTTACAGTCGCATTACTCATCATTAATAACACATATCTAGGTAATGTTAATGAAATATCCCTTGGTCTCTCTATAACAGAGTGCATTTTGGCCCCCTCTCCGACCCGATATAATTATTTATAATTAAAGTTCCTGCTGTGTCTGTGCTTCGTTTCCCAAATGAATGCATTATACAATTGAGACTTTACTGGTAACAACAAGGATAGAAACAAGCTGGGATATACACACATTCCAAATGTAGATATGAAGATGACGACTGCAAAGTGAAAGTTAGCCGGCTCACTCTATTCCGTTTGTTTACTGCAAAGTTGCCCTAAGCTGTGCATATAGGAATTCCATTACTTGGGAAATCATTTCGCAAGTGCATCTGGGATAATGTTGGCTTGATGTTGATATTTGGCACACTGAGCAGAAAATGTACATGGATGTATCTTTTGCCCAAAGCTATCTATATCAATAAAGGTATTTCAATTAACGCACAATTCACAACTTTAGTTTGTGGAATTTCAATGGGTTTTACAGCCTAGATTAGAAAGGAGGCACTCACATCTCTTTAAATTAACACAATAAATAAGCATACGACGGTTCATCAAAAAAATCAAAACGGTTTTTAAATCACCTAAAAGTAGGCAACATTTATTTTAGGCCCGAAGTTCCGATGGATTCCCGAAGAGATTGATAATAGTTTCACTGCATACTTTTAGACAGCAATAGAAATGATTTCAAAACCCTAGTGTATTTTAATAAAAATATAAATATATATAGTGATACAAAAAATACTATACTCGAATTATATTTTTAAAAAAGGTCTAGTTTAAATAGTTTTATACTTAATAATTTCAGTGTGGCTCAAAGTCTTAGGGCTTTCAAGGTATTTGCAAGCCACGCACTTGATCCACCCATTCACACTCTCAAACGCACGTAATTTCCCAGGCGGGCAACGGTACTTTGCCGGCAGTGACGCCATTTTACCGGCGGCCATTTTTCGTCTGCCACTTCCGCCATCGCGTGCCACCTGAATTATTGATGCCGCGATGGGCTGTAATGGGTTAAGGGCTGATCCAGCGACTGAGTCGCTATTAATGAGTTACCACCGCCTATATGCATAATGTATAAAATATATATGGAGATGGCGATGCCAATGACTCAGCCCACCCACCAAGCAGTTGACAAATAAGCGCTTAAGTAATTTGCCACCGTTTGCCGACGGAGTGGGGGCTGCACAAGTGAATATTAAATAAATTTTCCAGTTATTGCCTGCGTCTGTGCGCGGCCTCAACGGGTTAACCAAAGACCGGCGACGAGGGCTGCATTCAACTTGTAATTAATGTCAAATATTTACACATTTGCCGGAGATCAAAGGTCTGCCAGAAAGTCTCACAGCAGCCGGGCTAATTAAATGAGTATTTATATTTAAATTACACAAAACTACTTAAAGGCTTTAGCCCTCAGCCAGAGGCTGATGAAGTGAATTGGGTGGCACTGGGTGGATTTTTACCTAAGAATACAGCTGGAGGCAGAGGAGAGTATCTTCCGCTTCCAGAAGGGGCGAAAAATCAACCCTTGCCGGTTAAACCATATGGCGTTTGTAGCTTATTTCCTGAATAAATAATAATGCTGGAAAAAACTGTCACGTAATTAGCTCAAATTAGTTAGCTTATCATAATAAATTAAAATAAATAAATCATTGCCAGTACTCACCAATCACTTTAAATTGAGTTTCATATGTCTTGAAAGAATTCCTTAAAATTAAATCCTAAATGAATGGAAACAATTTCCCATTAAATGAATTTCTAGTAATTAAGCTTTATTTTAATTTAAGCTAAAGTTATTAGATAAATATATTAGTTTTTAAAAACATTTTTTAAATTTATGTTAATATTTTGTGATTTTCGTGGCACCTTATCCATTTTGATAAAAATGATTAAATTCGGATTTATTTTTTTTTAACCATTAAGTCATTTTAGTTTAACGCAAAGTGGCTTTAGCTAAACCGATGTTACTGCTAATTTCGCTAAAATTATCCCTTTCACTTGCTGCTCCTGTCGAAAACTTTGCCTGCCGAGAATATGCACAAAGTTGAAAGGTGAACTTGCCGCGTCCTTTATACTTCACCGGCAATTTGTCGCACAATTTGGCCCGGCATTCAATTTGCTTCGAACTCGCTCGTCAAAAGGGTTTAGCTTGTTAGCGCTGCACTCAATTTGAGGCATTCAAATGCCGAGCGGTCGAGTGGCCGTAGAGGGTTAAGGTTGGAGAGGGTTAAGGGAGCGGCTGCTGCAATTTGAAAATGCAGTCGCGCCCTAGCGGGGACAAGAACCCGTGCAGCAACCAGTAGTTCCAAGCTCACAGAACAGCGGCAGCTCGTGTGTGATATTCGGCATACGACGTGTGGGCAATGCGTGCGATGTGTGGCCCTGCAATCTTGGTTCTTCCGGGGACCTGTGTTTGTGTCCGGCCCTCGGCTCCGGCTCTCGGTTCTCCGATTCTCCGACGCTGTTGCGGCTCTGTTAGCCGGATATGTTACGGCGCACACACGAAATGCACTTTCGTAACCCAATTTCCTACATCCGGTGTCTTTTCGGCAGCCACACCACCCACTGCACCACCCACCGCCCGATGAGAGTCGTGAGAACGTGCGAGAGTGAGCGGAAATGAGCTTGGCCGGAAAATTAACCCACTCGCTCTCTCGCTCACATGGGAGCTTTTCCACACATGCTCGAGTCGGGAAATTTCGTGCTGATTCGTGGAGCTTTTCCGAGCTTTTCGCATCACAGTTCTAATAGCTTTCCCACCAACGTTCTGCCCCCCATGTTTTCTTGTTTTTTTTTTTGTTATTTCCTCATTTATTGCCGGTGTGCAGCTGTTTTGACCATGTGACGAATCGTAAGGCCGCCAGTCGTGTTGCCACTTTGATTGATTGGGTAATGAAGTTATTAGATAGGTGTGATTGTCAGGCCGTGCGAGATTTCGATTTCGATTCCGAGTGTGGCAGCGACGAATTAAGTGCCTCATTAGATTGTTATGATAGGTGTGCGGCATTGTGGGCGGCGCTGCAACACGCGAAATGCAATTAATATGCAAACGACTAAGTGATTGAGTCGTAAACTTGAGTTTTTCCCATGATTTATGGTGGTTATAAACGACAATAAGTATAAGATGTTTCAAAATATTTAAAAAAGCCACCTTAAATCCATTTTCTGCAGGGCCATTAAAAGATGATTACTTTCTGAAACCTTTAAATGCAATAGAAAACTTCTAGATTTGTAAGGCCTTTTTGTAGCCATTTCTAGTCCATTATTAAATTAAATTAAAGTTTTCATTTCTCAGTGAATATTGAATGGATTAAGACTTTGCAATATAAACTAAAATAATTATTAAATTGTTCCAATATTCTGAACTAAATATAAAAACCAAACTACAAAAAAATGATAATGATGACACTTATGAAGCGACCTGGTAAACTTTCGCGCTTGGCTTGAATAAAGTGGATAACCTATTTACCACTGATGTGGTACGCTTTCCCAACCGTTCACCAGAGAGACCAAAGCACTCCGATTCCGCGATGGAATATATGATAACAGCTCTGACCGCTTGTCACTAATGCTGACAAGGTCACATTGTCAACGTCAGCGCGCGTGCGTAAACCAATAAAATTTGTCCAAAACGGCCAAGACAATAGCCAAATAAACAAAGGCTAAGCTAAGCGAGGGGCTTCTGGCGGATAGAGCAGCGGTAATGGGGCATACACTCGTACACTGCAGTTGCAGCTAAACTGGCTTTAATGATTCAATCCCAAATATGGGTGTCAATAAGTTAACAGACAGACAATGTTGCACTTGCCGCGGCCAAAAGCGCGCTCTTGGCCAAGCTTGGAGCCTGAGTTGGCTGAGCTCATGGGGAAGATCTGGAGGACAGCCTGGACTTGGCTGGACTGGGCACCCAGACACCGCCACAGAAATTATGAAATGCATTTAATTTTGTTGCACACTTTTTGTGCGGTCCGGCGGATTCAGCTGCACAGCCCCTCAGCTCTTGGGGTCTTTGGAAAATCTATAAAAATTCCATTGCCCATAATTTAAGCCGTTGGCATTGGCATTGGCTTTGGCTTCGGACTTGGACTTGGCCGTGGTCCCGACTGTTTAAGGAAGCAAATGTTTCCGTGCAGCTGCCAACTGGTTGACAACTTGTATGGACCTGTGTTTTATGTGCCATCGGCCAGTGCAGTCGGGTTTATATTGCAATCTGTCCGCAATCATGTCACATCGTTCTGCAACTGGTTCTGGCCAGAGATCTCCCTCCTATCATCCAACCCTCTTATCCAGCTTGTCTAATGAGCTTCGAGGGCGTTGCAGCATCGAGGGCCTTCATATAAAAAGGTTTATGGCCGGCAAATGGC